AAACCAACTTTCTTTTCTGTGGTGTTCTATTAATTCTTGATCCCATAACCCTTCAAGTTAATTTCCTTCAAATGCCCTTCCAGTTTCCTTTTTCAGGTCTTTGATTGCCCATGACGGTGGTGAAGTGGAAGTAGTGTGTTCAGGTCATTATCATGTATTACATTAAATCATTCTTCCTCTCAGTCCCCCTGCATTTCCTGCCCAGAATCGTAAATCTGTGTTTGTTGGTCCTACTACCATAATTTAAAGGGAGAACACTTGTCTACCTTATTTAAGCCTGTCATAATCATATATAGCTAACACTTTAAATTTTTCTCTGTATTCCTCAAAAACATAAGTAGCAATTTTGTGGACTTGAACAGATGCAATCACTAAATTTGGCTTATCAAGTAACTTTAAAAACGTTTTATGTAATATTTTTATTAACTTAGGCTTTTTAATATACTGTTATGTTCCAAAATGTGAAGTTGAAATTGTCTGTTGAATGTGTTACTTTCAGATTACATTTAGACTTGCGCAATTGAAATTGATGTACTGCATTTCAACTCTAGCACAGTTAATTCTGCATTAAACATATAAACTTATTTCATTTTACAGCTTTATAGCAAAAATGTTAACAGTTCGAGCATTAGAGATTTCTAACATTGCTTATGGGTAGTATAAATACAGTATTTACGTTTTGTTCTTCACCGGTTTAAGAATGTAATTAAGATCACAATGGCCAAGAATTATGAATAATATTGTTAATTTTATAACTTTGTTTATGCAGGCCTCTACTCAATATACTTTGCATATTGCTAAATGTAAAATCTTCTATGAACCAATGGATTTGAGCACCATTATAGAACATACTTTTGTTCAAAAAAACAATTTTGCATTCGAAAAATATTTGCTGATATTTCAAATTGTCTATTTCAGCCTCTGCTACATAACCTGTCTGCATGCCTGGTTTATTCCTGATGTACTGCTAAAATCGTTTCACATGCCTTTGGTACCTAGAGACTTGACGATTTAAACTCTCACCTGCCTGGTATTCCATGCTATACCTAAATTGACCTGATTCCTCGTAATTCTCACCCAATCTGATTCACCTCTAACCCATGAGCTTACTGATTTAAATTGGTTCTCCCTTAAGTATGACCTCAATTTCAAAGCAGGCATCATTTTTTTTCCCAAATCCATAACTTCACCCCCTCCCGACCTTGGGATCTTCTCAGCTCCGTATACTTTAGAAGTATCTGCTTTCCACTACTTTGAGCCTCTGAGGATCCCTGATTTTAATCACTCCATCATTTGAAACCGTAGCTTCAGTTGATAAGGCCAAAAGCTGTGGAATTCCCTCCTTAAACTGACAACTTTGACCAAGTGTTTTGTGTTATCTTTCCTAATACTTCCTTATCTGGCTTTGTGTCACTCTGTTAACTTTCCTGCAAAGTGTTTTGGGGCATTTAATGCATCTAAAGGGGCTTTACATGTAAGTTGTTGATGCTTGAGTGGAAACCTGGTGCAATTAATCTATTCCACAACTGGTAACACATAAATAACTGAAAATGATTTTAAAAACACTCAGAGATAGTTAGAACTACCGAAGCTGGAGTCAGAGATAACAGTGTGGAGCTGGAGGAAAACAGTAGGCCAGGCAGCAACAGAGGAGCAGGAAAGTTGACGTTCCAGATTGGGACGTTTCTGAAGAAGGGCCCTGACCTGAAACGTCAATATTCCTGCTCCTCTGATGCTGCCTGGCCTGCTGTGTCCCTCCAGCTCCACACTGTGTTATCTTTAAAAACACTTGTGTTAGTTTCGTTGTCATGCAATAGCTGGTTGTTTTTAAAACATGCCGTTTTGTATCCTTACACTTTCTCAATCAAAAAATTGATATTAAAAGCCTCCTCAAAAATGCACAAATAGGTGCAACTGACAGAAACTACAGTGATGATATATTTGATTGTGGGTTGGACTAGCCAAGAACAATGATTTTAAATTAGCTAAAGCAATGGAAACTGTACTTGCCTGCATTAAAAATAAGAAT